ACTTAAATCTACTTACAGTATACTTTCATATACTTAAATATACTTACAGTATACTTTCATATACTTAAATATACTTACAGTATACCTTCATATACTTAAATGTACTTACAGCATACTTGAAATAGACTTAAATATACTTACAGTATACTTGACCTATACTTAAATATACTTACAGTATACTTGAACTATACTTAAATATATTTACAGTATACTTTCATATACTTAAATATACTTTCATATACTTAAATCTATTTACAGTATACTTTCATATACTTAAATCTACTTACAGTATACTTTCATACACTTAAATATACTTACAGTATACTTGAAATAGATTTAAATATACTTTAAATATATTTTCATTCATTTATTTATATTAATATTTTTGGACAATCAAAATCAAGTATGTACACACACATATATATAACGCCCACCGCGAAAGTGTTAATAAATCTCTGTTTGGTCAACTTTTTCGATCAACTGATACAACCAATATTCCGTGCTCTGTATAATTAAACTTTCCTTTGCCCAGAAGGAAACTTTGAATGATTGTTATTAGGTTGTTTTGTAGTGCAAGTTCTATTCGTCGAAATAAATTTGCCCCGTGACGTAAATAAAAACACGCAAGCTCCGAGGTAATTGAAATAAGTAAGAAACTCCAGAGAACTGATGGAACGAAGATTGAAAAGAAAATATTCAGCAATCCTGCAATTTTGAACAGAAATAAGAACGCGAGAAAGAAGAGCAGCAGTAAGACGAAAACGAAGGACAAAATATCGAGGGAACAAGAGTGGAGAGAGTGCACGTTTTATATCACTTGACGAAGCTATTTGTAAGCTTCTGCATCGTAGATCACCGATCGTGAATCTCCAAACTGCTTCTACCACGCATTCTTGACAAAACTCCAAGAATGCATCTTAACAAATCGTAGAATGTTTGTCTCTGTACTTAAACTCAGGATTGTTTCGATAAATACGTCCTTTGTACATACTTCTCGAATGTAAACGTAAACTGAAAGAAAAAATTCTCGCGTGACTGTAAAATTACCGAAATATTCCTGTTCTACGTACAGTATAAGAGGAAAGCGTTAAATGATAGTTTTTTTTTTTTTTTTTTTTTTTACGATTGCAACTGGTACGAATTTATGAGGGTCCGCTGAAATCTGTTGGTAGTTTGCCAAAATCTGTCAATTCAAATTTGTTTTCCGATTCGAAATAGACTGCGATCGTGAAACGCGTGTGAAACTGATGTAAATTCATACATCACAAGACAACTGACACCGGAAGTTATCAGGTGGAAAAATGTGTCTCTTCGTTTTAAAAATAACGTTTCAATGATCTAGAAACATATATAAATACTTATTTCAAAATATTTCTTACCGTTTTATTATATTATTAATTACTTGGTCGTTTTGCTCATTATTTATTTTATTTTACATTGAATTCTGAAAGAATTTATTTTCCAACATTTATATAGATACTGTAGGAATTGTATTATTATTTCTATTGTTATACTAAACATAAAAGTTTCCTTGAAATTCTGCCAAACATTGTTCCCGATTCGGTAATTAAAAATATTAATAAAAGGTTTAAAAATATTAATTAAAAGATTTATATATGTATTTCTAACTTTACTAAAACGCGATTAATATTTTATCTCTCATTTTCCCCTATTCATCTGAAAAGAACGGATAATCCATTATACGAAAAAATAACTATACTTAGAGGAGATTAAACAGATGTTCCTCGAATTGTTTTCTATAGCATAAAAGTGCCAAAGATTAATAACCGCAGGTTCTACATGAAGAACTGAAACTGCTGATTTTGTTAAATTCGGAAGATACGAAAGAAATTTGAATATAAATTTATATTGAATTCTTTCTCCATGAAATATATAAAAGTATTGGAAAGTTAAATGTGTTATTCAAAAAGGACGTACATATATCAAACTAAATGTACCAATAAATCAAACTAAAGATGTTACATCTCATTCATATATCATAATTGCACTTGCAATTAGTTTAAATTTCCACCGCCATAAATGTGCAGCATGAACATATCGATAATGCAGAGAAGGTGTTTCACTGTATCCACTGTCAACAAAAACGAATCTAAGCTAACGTCGATAATACAGAAAACACAGCGTCTCCGCTCAAAACATAATCCAGATACCTTTACCGACTACCAGATATTTATCGACCATCACGACTTTATCTGTCTGCTTAACTAGCAAGAGAAATAAATAAAAATTAACGAACGCATTATCAAGTTGAACTCTTTCTCCTGAGTTTTTCACCATACGTGCAAACAGGATAAATAAAGAGGTAACCTCGACCCAATTTCCTAACATGATAAAACACCTATAAGAACGTCGCTTCTTTTCTATGCGATTCGACTGAATTTCCCTCTCTAACGTTCCAAGCTTTCATCATGACCTAGATTGTTCCTCTCACGTTTTGTCGAATCAATATATACAAACGATGTACATACAATAAGAGGTTAGGAGAAGGAAAAAACGAAAAGAAAAAAGAAGAGAAAAAAAAAATTGCGACTCGCGAGTGTCTTGTTTATGTTCCCGCTCGTTATCGGTCAACCTCGTGCGAAAGCTATAGAATAAGGATATCGTAGACGTGAAACACGATGCAGATATTGCACGTCGTCGAGTCTCGCAAACACGAGTTATCTCGAATCTGGTGGAATGCGCGATAATGAAAAAATTTGACGCACCAAAAGTCTCGCTTACATCGAAGAGACTGAAGAAAAAAAAAAAGTGAAAGAGATATTTGCACGTCGTTATTATGTTAACATTAATCGTTTTGAATTATGACAAATATAAGCATTAGTAGTAGTTTAAGGATATCGAAATCTGTACACATCACTCTTCAGTGTTATAGGGTGTTCCATTTAACTTGTACAATTAAAATATCACTAACATGTTTCAAATATTGCTATATGTGTGATATATGTATAAAAATTGATCTTCAAAATCATCAACACAATTAAAACATTTTTATGAAGACTATAACGATTACTTTTATATAGTTCCTTCATATGCAGCTGATTTTATTTTCAAATAAAACATTTTACAGAGAATGTGAAAGCGCAGAAAACCGTAAATCTACATGCTGAAATAATATATTTATTTCCTTTCGTTTTATTAATAATAAAAAAAAAAAAAAAAACGCGGTAAGAGTGGCCACTGTTTAATTTAACTAATTCTTTTAACGCTGATAGTGATGAATGCACGAGTCTCTTTCAACCATTATAATGAGAATAATTCTATAGAGATCCATATATAATTCATGAGCCAAGGCTCATAAGCTTCATCCGCTTTCGCCTTCCGACTAAATATTAGTACTTTCTTTTACAAGATCATTCTAAATTACAAACGTTCCGCATTGGTAAATTTCTTGTTTAATATAAAACACTTTTCTATATGTTTCCAAATGTCTTTGAAAATCCATAAAGATTTGAAAATGAAATGTACCCAAAAAAAAGGACGCTTTAAAATGAAAATATTCGCTCATTCGATCTTTTGTTTTAAATCCTGCATACGTTTAACTATAAATTCCCTATAATGCAGACTATTGATCAGTAAGCCCCAAATATATTAAATTTTTTATTCTACATAGAAATATTTGAATCGGACTGCTATAAAAAATATTATATCGAGAGATTCATAAATTAATTTAATTTCGATAGATGGTCCCTACTGCAATTCCAACAACAAACAAAAATATTTTAGTGGTACAAGTTGAAATGGAACACCCTGTGTTACATGACATTAAAAATAACGGCGTCTTGTCAGACAGATCACGAAGAAGACCAACGAAGTCGACAAACCAGCATCGACTCAATTTAAAAACGTCGAACTTGATTTAAGAAATTAACACTCACCCCTCTCGCGTCCCGGAAGAGGATCGCCGCGTGCACAGGATCCAGACAAGCATCTGAAGCCCTATGAGGAATCGCAGGTGTACCCAAAGAGAATCTTCTGCCACCTGGATCCAAAGAACTTCTTCTGATTGCGCCTGAAAAAATTCGCAATTTGTTTAATTAACATTGAATACGGAACCAACTTGTTAAATTATAAGTTAAGTTATATTAAAATTGAGAAGTCGAGTGTCTGATTTAGTAGATACATATATATATAATTATTAAAGTAATATACTATAATTAAAATTAAGTAACACTTTATACAACGAAGAATCTATACAATAATAATATATTAACAACTGTATCATAAAATACACATATTACAAAAATTTTATCTGTGATAATTGCTGAATATTTAAAATAATATATTATAATAATATAATAAAATATACAATATAATAATATAATATATATAATATATATATTTTACAGGTACAGATAAAATTTTCGTAATATTTCTATTTTATAATACAATTGTTAATATATTACTATTGTATAGATTCTTCGTTATATAAAGTGTTACTTAAAATTTCCAGCATTGAGATGAATTTTGTACTTTTACAGTAAGAGTTTTGAGCGACAGCGTAAACTGTGAATATCTTTATGAACGTCTAAAGGATCTGCATTTTCCAATATATTTTTCCACATTCAAATCTGTAATATCAGAATTTAGAATGCATTTAGAGTCCGCAGTATAAAATTAGAAATGATAATGAAACTTTAATTTTGAATATTAAAATTGTCTTTACATAATATTGCTTACGTTGCATTTATTTTTTTTTTTTATTTTTACTGCTAAAAATAACGACGTTACGAAACAGAAAATGAAATGAAACTTGCGTGCGTTAATTTATTCAGAAACGAAGGTTGTACTTGACAGTTTTGCAAAATGCAAACATTTGCATCAAACAATTTTTCGTATAATTTAAAAGTTATTTCAGGTGTAAATGGCCCTGTATAAGAAGAAATGAAAATCACATTTCGTCAAATTAATGATAATGATATTCAAACGTCTAATATTTAACGAAAAAATATGGAACGTCAAACTATTCTTTGTAAATCATTTCTCAATTAGAAATTTCTCCAATTATTGAATTACAAGATGAAATTATAATTTGATCACACACATAAATCAAACTCTCCAGGTAGATTGATTTTAGTTACTGCAAGCGTAAATACGATTGATTCATTTAAGCTCAATTAAAGCAATTCTTGTATATTAAATTGTAATTAACTAAATTTATTATTAAGTTTTAGTACATTAAATTTATTATACATTTAAATTAAATAATTTAATAAAACAAATTAAACATCTGTAAATGAAAAAATCATTATAATTGAGAACTCTACATAATGATGAATTAATTATCTTTCCCCAGTTAACAAATTAATATATAAATATATACATATTTAATTTGTTGCTCGTCGCATGTGCGAATCTTGTTAAATCTTATTCTGTTTCATAAAATTTCAAAATTTAAATTGCGAACAAAAATCAAAAAAAAAAAAAACGTCCACTTGAGAAACTTGGCATTTAAACGATTCTTAGGCTTAACCAAATCAATAAATAATGTAGTAAAGTTTCATGTTGGAATTATTTTTAGATATGTAAATTCGTCTTGTCATGACCCACGTGGAATTCAAAATTGCGAAATTTTTGTGAATCTCTTTTTTTTTCTAGCAAATGTCATACTCGCTGTCTGACCGTACTGGTTGGAAGTTAATCCGCACTAGAGTTACGACACTGACCTTAACTCGTTACAGTTTAACACGATTTATAAACAGACGTGCACAATCTTCCATGGGGTTACGTAAAATGTGACTCCCTATTTACATTTCAATTGCGCTCTCGTTCGAATACATGTGCTCATGATCTTCGTCCCTGTGACTCATTCTACACTTCTCAAACTTTTTTTTTTTTCTTTCTGCATCAAATATCAAGCTGTTGCAAAAAGAAGAACGAACTCTTACTTTTTTCAAAAAAAGAAATTTCTGCAATTGCAGAGTAATAAATTGATGAATTAATGGCGATTTGCAGCCATTACAATGATACAATAACTATGACAAATCTCTGTTCACGTTCTATTTCGATTATATTCATGAGAGTTTTTAAATTTTTATAAACCATTAAATATATTTTTAAATTTTATACATATATTTTTATTACATTATATATTTATTATACAGATATATTATACATTAGAATTTTTGTATGTATTTTTTATATTTTAAAAATATATTTTTAAACTTGCATAAACCATTAAATATATTTTTAAAATATCCCAAAACACCAAGCAAATTCAGACAAAAAACGTGATAATGATATAATAATGCAATTACTTTTTAATAAAAGTGTCAATGATTGAAAGATCCGTTATCGTGTTTATTGAATGATTCCAAACATAATGCAAAAATGTGTGTCAACTAAATATTTAAGAGAATTAGAAAACGACGATTGGAATAAATTATTAAAATTACGTCGATGAACTAAGTCTTCAAAATCCAAAAAANAAAAAAAAAAAAAAAAACAGGAATAATTATTAAAAAAATTCAGCAAGAAAGTTTAAAGAATGCCACTATTCGTTCAATCAATTATTTCACTATACACTGACGAATCTAAGATTTAAATTTCTTTTTTCACTTAGTAGTGAGACTCTTATTTTTCAATAAGACAACAATTTTTACTAAAAAATAATTTACTATTAAATTACTATTTATTATACTATTTACTAATTACTATTTACTAATTATAAATAGTAAATAAACTGTATTAATTACTATTTACTAATAACTTACTATTAAATTACTATTAAATTACAATTTACTATAAAAAGGCATTTTACCTGAATTTGCTAGACGAAAATTTCTACAGAATTTCTAATTTTATTTTGATTGCAAAAAAAAAAAAGAAGAAAAAGAAACAAAAATAAACATTTACATCACCGCATACGCATAACACATAACAGTTAAAATATCAGATTTCTGCGTTTCATAGTACACTCCGTTTGTATTCATCGACACGTGCAAAAACGAAAGATTCGAAACTCTGCACATTCTCTGCATCTCTGATGGCGCCACGGGCATCAAGGTTTCCGGTCGTGCGTTTTGCAAAATAAACTTTTTTTTTCTGGTCGAAGCCTTCTATCGCGCACGGCTGCAGCGCTGCAGAAAACCGGAATTCGTTCTCCAATTGCCAGTAACTGGCCACTCTTCAACTTTTTCGTCGCGTTATTTTCTTTTTCCCCCGTGTAAAGATCAAAGTGTATTCAATAAACAGCCTGTACGCAGAAATTTGACGCGAAAGCTGAATTTACGAAATTATTTTTACTTTCCCACACTTTGGCCCGACAGTTTTCAACTTGTAGTACCAAAATAATAATATTGGTACTATGGCGGAAAACATATTAAAAAAAAAAAAAAAGGAGTTAAAACAAAAACAAAGTTATAGAATTCTGATTTACAAAGAGACACTTCTGCTGTTTTTATCTATTTTGATCTGACGTTAGGCTACCATTATAAAAAATTGTAAAATGCAAAATCGAAATTTATTAATTTCAGTTGTTTGATCATTTAGCTACAACCTGAGGAAATAAAAAAAAAAAAACAGGCTTTTTTGAGGGATGGATGAGAGTTTATGAGAGGAAGGGGTAAATGAAAAATCCAATCAAGAGAAACATCTAGATATTAAAGTTGCACAATTCTGGAAATCAAATATGCTTTTGGGACTATTATGAAGAAAAGACGATTAGAATTTGATTAGAAAATAAAAACACTGACGCTGATTATCGATTATCTTGATTTTCAGCGGGATTTGAAGCTCGTATGTCTTTGTGATTTTTATATTTCTGACGAATCAAAAAACCGCGACACTTTGATATGTTGCAAATGTATTTCATTTATATCCAACTTGGAAAGACGAAAAAAAACGGTCGTTAATTGAATAAATATGCCGGCGAAGTAACGAGCGAAATCTGAGGTTGCGCAATAACCATAACGCGCAACAGAGAAACTGATTTTTGGAGTAACTGTGGAAAAAGGACGTTCAGCTTCGAGGTATTCTCGTGACATTCTGTATTCGCGTCACTTAAATGATATTTCATCCCACGAACAGTTAATTGACATCCTCGATCAATTTTACCTTGAATAAATTTAATTTTTGTTCTTGCTTCTTGAGGATTCTGCTGGTGTAAGCGGTAGTGAAAATTAATGCAAAAAAAAGTGAAAATTAATGCAAAAAAAGTGAAAATGCGAAAAAAAAGTCATCACTTATTTAAACAGTAAAATTTATAACAATAGAATAATAGAATGTTTAATATTTTAACAATATATATTAATTAATATATATTATATATTAATATATATAATATATATAATACATATTATATATATATATTAATTAATATTAATATATTTAATATATTAATTTAATAATATTTTAATTATAATAACAGAGCAATAGAATAATAGAATATTTAATATTTTAATAATATATATTAATTTAATAATATTAACATATTAATACATTTAATATATTAATTTAATAATATTTTAATTATAATAACAGAGCAATAGAATAATAGAATGTTTAATATTTTAATAATATATATTAATTTAATAATATTAACATATTAATACATTTAATATATTAATTTAATAATATTTTAATTATAATAACAGAGCAATAGAATAATAGAATGTTTAATATTTTAATAATATATATTAATTTAATAATATTAACATATTAATACATTTAATATATTAATTTAATAATATTTTAATTATAATAATGGAACAATAGAATAATAGAACGTTCAAATGATACGAATGAAGGATGTTTCATTTTCACATATTTTTTGGATAACATATTTTCACATATTTTCGATAATTTTTTTCAGGGATTTAAAAAGAACAAGAGCAAAGAACAAAACTTTGGTATGAAAATTCAAATTCAAATTAAAATTTTGATATTAAAGCACAAAATAGTTTGTCGTTCAACTAAGATTTGCTCGACTGAAATTTGTTCCTCTTGCAATGAAGGTCACTAGTGCGCATCTCCGCGATTAAAACTCGCTTCTCAGCTTGAAACGTTAGCCTG